ATCGTAGTCGGCATCATCAGTGAGCCTTGCCGTTCCTCGCACCAAGATACGAACTCGTCAAAGAGACTGTAACCAAACCAGAGGCCACAACATCTTGGTCTTCATATATTCAATATATATATTTGTTTTTCTTTTGTAAGTGGGGCTTCGTGATTCCCAGTTCAGATATATGAGATATGTTCACTCTATTTCTTTTAAGGTAATGAAGGATTTTTAGTTGCATTTTCCCACAATGCTATAATTGAAACTTGCGTTTCCATTGAATTTCACAATATCTCACTTCACAAAAGATATTCTCATTCAGGGTGGACGAATGTTTCGATTACACCTAGGTCTCCTCAGCACCCCAGTGGGTCTCGAACCATGACACTGCAGCGTATAATATCGACACTCTGACGACTACACCACATTGCCACAGGTGCCTTAAGTCACAGGGCAGTTATGAATTTCAAGCAGGGTCAGGCATTTTCCCATATCAAATACACTTGTAATTAGCATGATGCTTTTGTCAACTATGAGATTTTAGTATTAGTCATCTGTAAATGTGGTCAGTAATCCAAGTATTTTTGTTACTGAGACATAAACGGCAACTATTTTTTTTATTTTAAATTTTGCATTGCTTATACACTTAGTTGCTTAATTTCCTAATGACTTTCCAATATCGAAACCCTCCCCAATCTTTCAAACTTTATTATGATTAAAGGCAATGAAAATAGTTAGAAAATTTACGGAATAGGCTCGTTAAGGCCCATTATCGTCGCTTTATATTATGTTTCTACGTTTCTTATGGGAATTTCATAAAAGGGATTTAAGCACGCGTTATCAGCAAAATTAATTGTTCATACTTTCCAGAATTATAATATATAAATTATCTGAATCGATGACAAAGGGCTATGTATGCACATTAATATTTCCACTTTTTCCTCAAAAGACGGTTAACTGAAGTTATTCTTATCTCCTTGACTGTAAAAACTTTAAGATTATATCCTTTTTGTGTGCTTTCTTGTCTCCAGGACAGCCTGCGTCTGATCAATCTGCTCTTCAAGTTTGGCCACTTGGCAGAAATCCGGACTCTGCTCCGTGAAGGTCTCACAAAGATCCGTTTGGAGAATTGGCTTCTTGTTATTCAGCAGCTACTTGCCCGCATTGACACAGCCCATGAAGCTGTGGCCGGTCTAATCGTCGACCTTTTGGTTGCAGTTGGCCAACGGCACCCTCAAGCTCTAGTCTGCCCTTTGGTTTTAGCTTTTAAGTCAGGTGGCTCTGATCGCAGGCGCTATAATGCTAACCGGATTCTCTATTCTATGGAGGAACATAGCCCCCGATTGACGTCTGAAGCTTTTCTGGTAAATAGATTACATATAATAAGTAAAATTATATTATTACTTATTCATACTTTATTTTATTATTTAACCTCTCCCTCTATCTACGTTACACTAGAGCCGGAAGCTGGCATATTTGGCTGCTCCTTATCTTTGTTTCGAATATAAATGATTAACCAGTCAGAAAATCCAGAAAAGCATGTCGTGTGAATAAACTTTTTAGGACTATTTAGACATTGCAAGTCGAATCCCCTCTTATTATGATAAGTATGATTTGGTTCATTTACTTTCTCATTTACGATAGTGGTAATTAATTCACAAGTCCGTAGTATTTTAGTTGTTCTATACTCCTATACTAGTCTAAAAACGAGTTGAGAATCTTATTTGCAGTCGTTGGCATAAGATGATGTAGGACGGATAGTTGCATTTTCAAACAATGAAATGAACAAACTTGCTTATCTGAGAAAGAAACTTTTAGTCCCTTTTCATTAAGACTGAAAAGCAGGTTCGGCTTAGCTTAAGGTTTCCCAGCACGCCCGAGATTCGAAACT